ACCTTAAGCTATCCACCCGCCTCGGCCTCCCGGAAATGCTGGGATTATAGGTGTGAGCCACCGTGCCTGGCTGGGTCACTGTGTTTGTAACGTAAATCAGTGGAGTTTCCCTCTCAGATTCATGACCTCAGTTGAGACTAGCTTGTCATATTTATGTCCACCTCGGCCATTTAGATCCATTTTAAATCTCATCTTTTAACCATCCTTATTAATCAGCTGGAAGAACTCCCCCCCCTTTCTCTGAACTGCATTAGTTTTTCTGGGAACCCAAGGGTACAATAAAGGTCATAGTAGGAATTTGCATACCATCTCAACGTGTAAACAAAGTTCCAGGAGATGATACATCTACTTATAATAAGTAAAATGATACGGCTTCACAGGTGCCTCAAAATGACAGATTTCTTTCTTTCAACCAAGGTTTCATGTGTTGGGCATGATGACTGCTGCTTGTCAGAAGGTCTGGTGGTGGTTTACATGTATCTTTGACTAGTAAAAAATTGGAATACATATGATAAATAAGTTGAATTAAGACTTTTCACTATGTTTACATCGTGAGGCAAAAACTAATACAAAGATTCTTTATGCTTGAAAAGTTTGGGAACCACTAATTATTTTCTGTCACATGCATAGGACTTTCCAAATTCTACTTTATTTTTTATATTTTTAAATTTATAGATTATTATTAGATTACAATTAATAGATTGTAAGCATCGTGCACCAAAGTTTCATGCTTTAAAGAAAAAGACATCTATATGTGGTATTTAGAATGGTGCCTTGCCTGTGGGATAGGCATATACTTAATCATCCTTAAAGGAGGGAGATGCCATGTTGTCCCTAGAATTTATACTAAATCACTGAATCCTGTCACCCTGCTGGATGTGAAGGTGTGGCTCCTTGTCACTTCTCATGCCCACTCTGTCCTCCGGCGAGTGGGCCTGGTGGCTGTCGTATGTTTTGGTGGTTCCCCTTGGTTCATTCTTATTCCTGAATTCCTTTACAACTCTAGGTTAGGTGCCATATTTTTCAGATGATTTTTCCGACCTAATTTGCTTTTTTTTTGGAGACTGAGTCTTGCTCTGTTGTCCAGGCTGGAGCGCAGTGGCACAATCTCGGCTAACTGCAAACTCTGCCTCCCGAGTTCAAGCAATTCTCTTCCCGCAGCCTCCTGAGTAGCTAGAACTACAGGCATGTGTCACTACGCCCAGCTAATTTTTTGTATTTTTAGTAGAGATGGAGTTTCACCATGTTGACAAGGCTAATTTGCTTTTTAAATCTGTTCATTTCCTACTATTTAAACTAACAGATCTCTCTTCCTTTTCTGAAGAAACAGCTTTGGAGAGAGTCTGTGTAAAGCTTTTATCGGTGAAACTTAATGCAAAGAGTTAATGATCTTCCTGTAAAAGGAAAAAGTGAATATGGCCAGATGTGTCGAGTGCTTTTCCCAATCTCTAATATTTAGCTCTCATCCTTCCTGTAAGATGAGCATTTAGAGGGTCCACGGATTTCTCTAGCTGCATTTTTTTTTTCAGGATGCTTCCATTTTTAGCTTGTCGTTTCCTTCAAAGTGCTCCTTAAATTATTTTTAATTGACTTCTTAGACCTGATCTTCCGTACTTCATGACTTCTTTTCCTCTTGTTTGGTCTCCTTTTCATTTTAGGACATCCTTTTCATTCCAAGGTCTTTTTTTTTTTTTTTTTTTTTCCTGCCAGTTACCTACACAGTGATTTTGTTTAGGAAGAACCTGGGCTTTCTGGTTTGGCTAATGCATAGTGTTTTGTGTTTGAAAAGTCTTTGAAAGTGCTTTTCCTTTGTGCTATAAATCATTCATAACTCCTGTTTGATTGACTTTTGAAGTATTCACCCAATATTGCTCTGGAAGCTTATGTCATCAAGGCTACTGGCTTCACGGGGATGACCTGTACCGTGTTCCAGAAAGTGGCAGCCTCTGATCGTACAGGACTTTCGGATTATGGGAGGCGGGATCCAGACGGAAACCTGGATAAGCAGCTGAGCTTTAAGTGCAATGTTTCAAATACATTTTCGAGTCTGGCACTAAAGGTATGTTACCTTCTGCAATCATTTAAGACTATTTACAGTTAAAGTAGAGTGCTCCGAATGTTCTGCTTTGCAAAATAACCTTATTAGAAGATTTTTTTGCAGGGAGGTAGGTATTACTGCTTTTTCTATTATTTTAAAGAAAACTCTAACCAGGAAGAACTGCATTACGACTTCCATGGGCCCTAGGCGTTTTGGCCTTTGATTCCCTCTCCCTCCATAAAAATATCAAAAATTACATTTTGTAACTGCAGTGGTATAAATGCAGATATCGTATTACATATTAAAATATTTTATTCAACTTAAAAGTTTATTTTTTTTCGCTCCTGATTTTAAGACAACAATATGTTTTCATGGACCCCTAAAAGTATCATGAACCTTTGGCCCTGTGCCTGCCAAGCCTAGTGGAGAAGTCAACCCCGAGGCCAGGCGTTTAATCAGGCAAGCTGTATATCAAAGTTTTTGGCAGAAAATACAAATATGTCATATATCTTTTAAAAAAAGTTTCATTGAAGCAAGCAAAATGAGAGCATTTTTGCTGATTTTTAAAATTGGGGATTTAGGTATATTTGACTACACCATATTGAAGCAAATAGAGGAGGCACAACTCCAGCATCCTAATGGAACTTAATTTTTTTCACTTACCTTTCTGTGAGCATGTGTAATTGTATTCTCTGGGGTTTTCAATCTCACAGTACCTTATTTCTGTCTTGTCCCTGAATAATATCACAAACAATATTCCGGTCATTTTAATGGCTGCATAATAACTGATCCAACAGGTGTCAGGTGTTCCAGTTTAGTGTGAGCACTCAATAAATATTGAATGAATGAACGAATTAGTGTATTTTTGTATACTTTTTCTTGGTGACCACCATTAAAGAGAGCCAGTTTGCTAAATTTAGAAAATCCCAACTGCCCAAGAAAATCTCAACTAGGTCAAAATGTCTGATAATAATATATTTACTTGATACCCTATACTCAGAGGAAAATTGGCAAGATTTGCCTGTTAATATTGGTGCTAAGGGAGTATTTGATGCACTGTGCCACACTCCTTTGGACCTGCTCAGCTTTCCTTATTGTGTCTTATATTAGGAAAAACAAAACAAAACAAAAACCACAAACATACTATGAAAGCCTAGAAACAGCAACACAGAGAAGCCCATGAGAGAAAGGTGTGTTTTTTGAGGAAAACTTAAAATTGATGAACACTTCTGTCTTAGATGATCACAGTTGGTAGAAAGGGATTAAAAATGATGAAACCCTACATTGCATCAATTTCACAACGTATCCCTCTGGGTAAGGAGAGTTTCTACTTGCTAAAGTAGAAAGCTTTAGATGGACACTCAGATTTGTCAATTTCATGCTATTCT